TTAGAGCACATTGAAGCAGTATAAGAATTCCAACTTTGACCGATTTCTACAGAAAAAGCCAGCTTCTCGAATACTTATGTACGTTTCGCTTTTATGTAAGGGACCTATAGACAAAATTCAAGTCAATCGAAGATGTGCATGCATCATTGAAACAAATGGTTCTTTCCCCTGGAGAACCATTAGCCCAGTAAAATTAGATAAATTTGGTAGGTAATCTGAAAAAATTTGAAACAGGGATTTTTTGATGCAATTCACTTCTGTTTGACACGTAGATCATGGATCCACAGTCTTGCCTCTAAATATCATTTGGCAACATTCCGCCATCTTGGATTTAAGTTTTTTTTTTTTTTGTTTTTTGGGATTCGCAAGCTTATTTTGCACGTTACGTAAAAATGATAAAACACAAATATGTAGAGAATTTAATTACCCACATTTGTTATGTAGAAGGCTTTTTAAAAATAGAATTTTTTATTTCAAGAAATTAGCAAAAACTGCGAAATATTATATATTGTCACGGTGTTTGCCATTTTTTTTTTTCTTGACAGTTTCTATTGAAAATACATAGCATATTGAAATTCCAAAGTTGTAGAGAATTTCATTCTCCACAACTTTTGTACCTACATTTGTTTTATACGACGTTTATATCATGGCCGGGAACGCGATAAACATAGCGATGTACGGAATGCGCCGTAAAACTCATTCAAACTCAACAAAAAATTACAAAAACCGTGAAAATGTAAAATTTTTTCACCGTTTTTGCTAATTTTTTACAATAAAAAATTATATTTTTAAGAAACCTTCTATATAACAAATGTAGGTAATTAAATTCTCTACATATTTATATTTAACCATTTTTTACAAAAAATGCAAAATAAGCAAAAAACCAAAAAAAAACTTAAATCCAAGATGGCGGAATGTTGCCAAATGAAATTTAGGGGTAGGACTGTGGATTCATGATCTACGTGTCAAATAGAAGTAAACGGCATCAAAAAATCGCTGTAACAAATTTTTTTTTAGTCTAATTTTACTGGGCTACATNGAATTTTTTTTAGTCTAATTTTACTGGGCTACATAGAGTTTGCTCCATTTTGTGACGCCTAACAAGATATTTATCGTCACTAGACACGAATAAAAGCGCGCTAGTGTTTTGACGGCGAAAATGGCGCGTAGAAAAAATTTTACAAAAAAAAAGACGCTTAAGAAAAATTTCAGCGCAGAAAATCGCGTAACCTAGTTGACGGCGAAGAAAGACGCGTAAACATAGATTTATACCTAGCCAAAGACTGTAACTTCAGCATCATTCCCCGAAAAGTCTTTGGGAAATTTAGATACTGTTACATCCGCGAACGTAGTTGGCCGCGAAAATAAGTTTACGCATCTTTCTTCGCCGTGTAATATTTTAACGCATCTTTCTTCGCCGTCAACTATGTTAAGAGCCTTTCTTCGCTGAAGTTTATGTTTTATGCGTCTTTTTTCGCTGTTAACTTTAGAGCTCACGCCTTAATTCGTGTCTAGTGACGATATGTTAGTTATTCATGAGCTGCACTGCCCAAAATATGTTGTTGGGTGTCATAATAGTACGTACAGTATTGGCCAATACAATAGCACCCCCATTTCAAAGTGATATTGTTTCTCACTCATGTTTATTTACATAATTTTATGAATTTTCAATTAAAATACAGTTTATTCTCTGACAAAACCAATATAAACCAAGTTCTAATCTTTGTAAAAGACTACAAAAAAATGCAACAAGTTTTCACCTAAATTTCAAACTTTTTTCTCTAAAGTGTTAGAATTTTTT